TGTTTCAAGCTTATAAAAATATATATTGACTTCTCAAGTATGTATTTACAGTATATAACACGTGGTTAATGAATATCAAAAAAGCATCTGGAGATGAACCAACTTGATCCCAGTTTTGGTTTCACGCGAGGGGGTGTTGCAGGGTGCCGGCGATGGCGAAGCCGCACGTCCCACCCACACCGAGCAGCGCTGCGCCTTTCCTCACCGGCCGAGAGGAACGTCCAGGGGAGACGTTCCCACGAGGAATATAAAGCCAAGCCCAGGAACAGCAGCTTTCCTGCTGCCGTATCAGGGCAGCGAAGCGCGCTGCCCAGCTCTCCCAACCGCCGACGGCACGAGGCTGGATGCCGGGTCCGTGTCGGTGCTCCCCAAAGCACCCGGCCTTGGGCTGCTGCAGGCACAGCCGCCGCGCTGCTCTGCCAGAGGAGACCCGATGGAAACAGCGTCCTGCCGAGGGAGGGGGGGCTGCTTTCCGGGCGCTTCCCCTTCGTGCAAGAAGGGTCGACAGACCTGTCCGCACACGAGCTTAGACACACACGCTTGCTCTGCTCCTCCAGTTCATAACTGGCCTCCGCTCTGCCTGAACAACTAAAATCTAATCCTCTGTAACTGTTTTTATTAGCTCCAGCAAAGCCCGCAGATTACAAAACACTTGTTCTTTTTTCTTCTCTGAACAAGCCAATTAAGGCTAACGCTGCTGCAGAGAAAGTGAGAGTGTTCGGCCGGTCCTGAGCCCTTATTAGCACCGATGGGATCAGGGCTTCCCCACAGCCAAGGAGGGGGAAGGAGCCTTGCACCGCGTCAGAGGCTGGATGGGCAAAGAGACTGAAGTCGTTTTGAGGCATTTCCCTTGGTCAAGCAGCTTCAAAACAGTGTTGCTAATTAATTTAATTATAAGGCATTGAATACTTCCCCAAAGAGAGGTGCTGAGAAGATGCGAGTTAATTTTAAAATCATACCAACCTATAGCTTAATCTGCTCATTTTATTATCTTCAGTGTAGATGAGGAGCTCAATTAAGAGTTTATCGTTGCAACAAGCTAGGCTGGAAAGCATAATTCCATTATATGCTTTTTCTTTTCTTTCTTGAAGGAGAGGCCAGGAAAGCAAATACCTCTTGCTTCGGAGTTAGAGCACGGTCCCGTTCACAGAACCATACTGTCTATAAGAAGCAGCTTTCTGAAACACATCCGAGTCCCTCACCAGAGTAAGTAAGTCAGAAAAGTAATTAAACACCAAGTTTCTTTGGGAACAGCTAGAGAGACTCAAAGAAATTACACCTTCAATTCTCATTGTCCTCCAGAATGTAGTACGGCAACCTAATTCAGTGGGGGAAACACTACAGAAATGATTGAAAGATGTTCTCATTTTTACTTGGAGTACCCGGCATAGAGCGAGCATCACAGGATTACAGGCGCGAAGGGCCAAGGAGGCTGCGGGGCTGCCAGCCCCGTGCAGAGCTCAGCTGCTGGGGGAGGGCAGGCACCCTGCCTGCACGGCCAGGGCAGCTTCCCCAGGGACCCCCCGGCGAGCCACCGGTCACTGCAGCCCAGGAGAAATGCCGTGACTCCAGATAAGCTGTGCTGAGGTTTCTCTCTCCAGCCAGGCAATGTTCAGAGGGACCGAGGAGCAGATCCCGGCAGCTCCGAGAGCAGCCGTGGGCCCCTCCTCACATCCATAACTTTGGAGGAAGGGGCTGCTCCGGGGGGGGGTTTCAAGAGGAATGTGTCACCGCCTGCTCACGGCCAGGTCTGATTCCCAGACTCTGAAGCACTCTGTCACCATTTCCCCAGACCTCCTTGAAAGCAGCTGCCCCAACCTGGAGCCAGCCCCTCCGGCAGCAACCTCCCAGCATCCGGATGCAGGAGGCTGCTGGAAATCCCACCGGACAGGACAAGAGCAGGGAGATGGGGGAGAGGATCTGGAATCAAGATGGTTCAACTCCCTGCCTAGAGAACTATATTATACTTTCTCTATAGATAAAATGTAAACATAAAGAGCGTACAAATTGCACTTGATCCCTGGGATCTGGCATTTCTACCAAATGAAGGTTTCGGTTCACCATTATTACTCTTTTGGATGTGAAACTGCAGGATGGTGAGTGACCGACCAGACCGGACAAGGGCCAAACATAAAGACAAATTATTTCCATAAAAACTAACCGAGTGACATTGGGCAATGTTGTTGCAAAGGTGGCAGGAAGGAGAGAGCTTGTTCACCCCGGCGAGCAGCAAACTGCCCAGAGCCTGCCCAGCATTTGCCTGCTGGCAGGCACGATGCCGGGGCCACTCTGTCCGTGCCTGCAGCCCGACGGCAGCTCCCGGCCCCACCGCGCGAGGGTTGCTGTCTCGAGCTCTGCACGGGCTGCTCTGTGCTGGCTCACGCTCCCCTTCGCGTTCGCTACCAGGAGCTCAAAACCTGCCGGGGCTGCAGGACCCGAGAGCGGCTGCGATTGCGTGGTGCTCACCACGGCACTGCCTGGGAATGCCGGCACAAGGCAGGATATTGATAAACCAACATTAGCTGGCACCTTCTTGAGACCACTGGTTGGTGAAGTTCAAGCAGAGAGTTCTGATCTCTGATGCAATCAAGCTAAACTATCAGAAAAAACTGAAATCTTGTCAGTCTTGAGCACCCCTGGACCCAGCCTGGCCACGCGGCCGAGCCAAAAGAGCCCGAGGGCCGGTGAAAAGGAAACCACCATGACTGAGGCTTTCCTAAGCAGAAGCTGGATCCCAACGGTAACGTGTTCCGTGAAGGCCGGTGGGCCCAGGACAGCCACCAGCACCTACGGTCGTGCCGCTCTGCTTGGCTGCGTGACCAGGAGAGAAGGAAGACACCCAGGCAGGGACGGTGCCGTGCCAGCCGTGCGAGAGGCTGCCTTAGGGCCCTTCGCTCAGTCGTCATTTAGAGTCTCATCCCCTCGGGGCAGGCTAATAGGAGGATCTGACTCGAACAGATTTCTAGCCGCATTATGAACATCTCCCACAGCATTCATTCCCTTTGTAAATCTTTGCCTTTCATCATTAATAATTCACTTGCAATACTTACAGATGATAATAAAAGATCTACAAAACTCCGAACAAGGCTGCAAAGACCCATTTAATTAACTAACTTCAAGGAAACTTGTATTATTAAGCAGATGCTATTTATGTCTTCTGTCAGGGATCGTGCCTGCATCAGTGGGAACTGCCAGCCTGCAAGGCAGGCGGTGCTGCGCTACCGTCTGCAACAAAATAAAGTGCTGATGTGCCCTGGTTTGCCTGGATTGCACGGCAGGATTTCAGGGATCACACGGATGCCACAGTTCACTTTGCCCAAGCCCCAGAATCTGGCTGGGGTGCGCAGCCCCTTCGGCACAGCCCCTGCAGCCTCCTCAAACACCCAGACCTGGCGTCCGCCCCACTGCAGAGGCTGCGGGTGCTGTGGGGAATGCTGGCACAGCAGCGCTTGGGCACGGACCGCTGCCCAGCCATTAACCTGCGGTGGAAAACCGATGCCCTGGCACGGCAGAGCAGGACACTCCAGCAGCCCTTCCCTTCCCTGCTCCCCACCAGGCACGAGGCAGCCAGGCTGCCGGAGCGGGGGGAGGGCACTGCCTTCCAGTGCCAGAGCAGTCATGGGAAACATCCACCCAAAACACAGCCATGTCCGCTGTCTCTCTGACTCCAAACTGATTCCCAGTATTTCATCCCATTTCTGGATGAATTGGGAGGTTCCTTTTTGCTGCTGTGGGTTGAATTAACACTGTTCATAAAACCTTGTCCCCTGCAAAAGCTTCCAGACCCAGAGAGGGAAGAGCACTCATCCATCTACTGCTCCGAGGCAGAGCAGACACTTCTGAGCGGGACGCTCCAGCTCAGCTGACAGCAGGGAGTCCCCGGGCTCCGGTGTCAGCCCACGGCTGTGGGCACGCAGCCACGCTCTGCCTGCTTTGCTCTGCAGCCCAGGGACAGCGGTCAGAGCCCATCGCAGCTGCCCACAAAGCCAGCGAAGGTGAGATGCGGGATGCTCTACCCGCAAAACTGCAAGGCATGAAGCAGAGGAGCGAGGCTAAAGGAGCAACAGATGCTTTAGCATCAGTCCTGCACGGGAGGCAGGTCTCTGCCTGCGGGCTCAGTCTGCGTGTGGGCAGCAGTTTGCTGCCTGCTGCTGCTCTGGTCTGTAAGTTCCCACCCCACTGCTGGGCTCCAGCAGTAAAATGAGGGATCAAGACCTGCACAAAAGGCAGTGAAGGCTGAGAGCATCAGCGGGGCAGCCCGAGGGCTCCACTGCCTGCCCTCTCTTGGCTATGGCTCTCTTCATCAAAGCTTTTAATTTCTTCCCCTGAAATTGTCTTGTCAAGAGAGCCTTAGAAACGTTCAGCACCATTTGCTCTGCACTTTAGTGGAGAATATTTGTTTTTGTTCACCAACTGTGGTGTCAAGACTCAGTGAAGTAACTCTTGGAGCGGAAGGGACGCGGCTGGGAGTTTCCTTCCGCATAGCAGATGGGGAAAGTCACCTTCCAGAAGTTGAGCACTGGGTGTGAGCTGTGCTCCGGTCTCTAAAAATAAAAGCAATAAAAGCTCTTTGTGGGGTTACTAGAACATGTCAGCTTGTATAAAAAATACCCATGGATTTCACCAGTAGTATGCTAGATACGAAAATGCTGTCAGCTCTGGATTAAGACAGTGCACAAATGTCCATCCACCCTGTTAACCTAATTACCATATGAAATGGCATCATTACAGTTTGACTCATCTTACAAAACAGTGCTAGGGAGAGCCATGCCCGCCTAGGCGCACCGCACACGTCCCAGGAATCTTTGGCTCCCCCGGCACAGGGGACGGGAAGCCCTGCTCTCTTGCCACGTGGAATGACTTGTTTGGCAGCAGCCCAGCGATTCCTACATCCCACCTGAAACCAGGAGGTTTCAGAAATTTGGTCCGGTGTGGGGCCGGCTGGCTGTCTCCTCCCCGGGAGTGCCGGGTCAGTGCTCTGCACCTCTGCAGGGGTTGCTTCACACCTGCACGCCTCGGCCATGCATCTGGATCACCTGGGCCCGGAGAGTCTGGATCCCGCTCAGGATGGTCTTCTGGTGCTCCACCAGCGTGATCCCCAGGCTGAGGACATCTCTGCAAAATGAGCCCCGCATCAGCCGTGAAAAACAAGCCCGAGCGGTGAAGTGCCCTGACACCGACTGTGCCCAGGCAAGGGCAGCGCAGGTTTCAGACTATCAGGCTACTGCAGACCTGCCAGAGGAAGAAATCCCCAACCTGTTGTCCAGCCAAAGCAATACGGACCCTGACCGGGAATCCAGGGGTAACAGGAGCCTGCAGCACGCCGGGCGTGAGACGGCTCCTGGCGCTGCCACCCTGTGCTGCCTGCACAACAGCTTATCAGATAATTGCATTAGATTTGACTCTGCTTTCTAGAAGGGACAGGCAACACCACTCTTGTCAGAAACTACAGGTTTAAATCTCAGCTTCAAAAACCAGCAACTGAGATGCACAACAGACGCAGCCCAGCCCACGCCAGCGAGCTCTTACAGACACATTTTAGAAGATCTATCCTCTTGTTTAGTGACGCCTGACTGTAACTGCAAAGCAGAGCTCGCTCACACTGCACCCAGGTTTTATATATATATATAAACCAAGAGATTATAGCCAGGAAACCAGTTCACTGACTGGGCTGTCATCCTGGCCACCGATTCCAGGTAGCAGTAGCCTGCAGCAGTGAAGTTGTCTTTGTACCTCCCCATTTCTATCGCCTCCAGCCACTCACCCACAGAGCTGAAAGATGGGAAGGCTGAGAAGGTACGCTCAGTGAGGGGGATGGAGGTGCTGTGGGACCTGCCAACAAAACGGGGTGGTGAGGAGAGAGCAGGGCACAGCACGCCTGAGGTGGGAACCAGCAGGCAAAGCCGAATGACGGGAAGCAAAGCAAGAGGGCGGTCACCTGGTGCACGTGGAGCCGGGGCACTTCGGGGGCTCGGGGCTCTGCACCATCTTGCTCAGGATGTTGTGGATGTGCGAGAACTTGGGTCTCTGGCTGCGGTCCTTCTGCCAGCAGTCAAGCATGAGCTGGTGGAGGGGCGGCTGGCAGTTTGCCGGGGCGGGCAGGCGGAACCCGTCCTCCACGGCCTTCATCACCTGCAGTGGCAGAAGAGGGCAGAGGGGACGGGGTCAGGTGCTGTGATGTAGATTGCAGGCAAAACCCCGGGGCAAACCTCCCTCCTCACACCCCGCCTGGGGAGCGGCAGCAGCTCCTCCGTGCACCGCAGAGCCACCTGCACACCATTAGCAATGGCAACGTCGTCATCTACCGCGTGGCGGCCGGGGACTCACGTCCTGGTTGGACATGTCCCAGTAGGGTCTCTCGCCGTAGGACATGACTTCCCACATGACGATGCCGAAGCTCCACACGTCGCTGGCTGGACTGAAGTGGTGATACTGGATGGCTTCGGGGGCTGACCACAGCACCAGGCTCTTCCCACGCTGGACAGACAGAAGGGGAGAGGTGATGTGTTCGCACAGCGGGATGTAGCTGATGCACGTTTGACGTCTGGGCAGCCGTTCGTCGCACCCTGCCTGGCATCGCAGGGCAGACACCAAGCAAGCCCGCATGCCACGTGCAGGGTTAAGTACTAAGAGAAAACTTTTGCCTCCATTTATTTTAAAATGGCCATGTAACTGTATGCTACATGTGAGTGAGTCCTGAAATATTAATGGGAGAGCAGAATGTCTCTGGGAAGAGCTGATGGCATTTTATACATTAATATTTAATGAAAACTGTTTCAGAGCTGCACAAACACATAGTGCCTCCACCCTGGCTTGCTCTCCTGTAATTAGCAATCCCCATCTTGGCGTCTGCAGAACCCTCTGGATGCACTAGGGGAAGCAGGTGACAGACACCGCAGCTAATTGTAATTAACAGCAGGGAGACCTTGACCCCAAAGCCGCAGCCCCGCTGCACCGAGGTGGGAGAAGCCAGGGCTCCTGCTGGGCTCTCCACCCCCCTGCTCAGCAGGCTGCTCCGTACCCAGCAGCACGCCAGCACCAGGGCAACTCCGCTCGAGAGCTTTGCAGCACGACAGCCACGGCTGAGCTACAGCTCCGCAGGCAACGCTTGCCACATCTGGCGAAGGGGGGTCGCGCTTTGCCAGGGTCTCTTCAGGACAGCAGTGCTCTCACTACGGAACGCACTGAGCGTGCCTCCCTGCAGCTAGAGGTAACGGCTGAAAAAGTTTTCCAAGACTCTTTCTGCCACCAACCTGCACAGAGCTGGCAAATGAGCGCAGCTGCTGGCAGAGCGTGGGCCGAGCCCTGCACCTTCCCCTGGGGTGCCCGTGCCCTGTGCTGGGACACGGGCACCGGTCCCTGCAGGCACCGCACATCAGCTGCTGCCTCCTTGGCACTGCCCGATGCTCCCTGCAAACAGTAAATGCTCATTTGATTGAGGAATCAATGCTCTTTAAAATATTAATGCCTGGTTAATGTGATGCGCTAACAGATCCAGCTGATACAGGGTGGCTGCAGGGTACCAAATGAAACATGTCTTATCGCTCTGCAGTTAAAAGACGCATTGATGCACCCTTAAGTGAAACGTGCCGCAGCGGTGTGTGAAAGTGGGGAGGGAGAACCGGCTCCAGCAAGGGGCTGCAGGGCCTTGGGGGCCCACGGGTGCCTGCCCAAACCAGGGGGGCAGGGGCAGCTCCCCCAGCTCTGCACCCAAGTGCTCCCAGGCAGCTTCTCCAAGCGCAGGCAGGCACTCACTCAGGAGACACGCCGGCCAGCAGAGCTGACAAGGCATGAGTGTGAATCAAGCAGGACTTAAATACTTAATTGAAAACCATGAATTTCATTACAAGTGATAAAACAGACATAAGGAACCCTGAGGCTGCCAGAGCTGCCTCCAGCGACCTCTCTGCCACTTTGCACAGACATGCGGGAAGGCTGCGGCCAGAGGAAAAGCGGTGCTGGACGGCTGCTGTGCAGTTCCCTGGCTAAATGCATTTGATTCCTAGCTCAAAATGAAACTTTCAGGATGCAGAGCCCACATTCATACATGAGGAAGGAAACAGGAGCCTAGGAAAAATACTGGTTCTGGAATAGGATTGCTATATGTCTTATTAACTCTGCCTGCAGAAGCAGGCTGGCTTTGGATTTGATCCTTATTCAGCATTCAGAGCAGGCTGCAAACCTCTCCAGTGACACCGGGCCCCAGTCCAAGTGCTCCTGGCCATGGCCGTGCATTGCAGCCAGGGAGATCCACCTCTGCAGAGGTTTTGTAGCTGTTCTGTCAGCATTTTGCTTTCGGGGAATGTTAACAATAGAATTTGGAAATCCAGCTTACCATGGTGGAGAAGATGGTCTCCATCTTATCTTCTTGTGGTCGTCTGAAACCAGTTATTTTGCAAGCCAGGCTGCTGTTCACAAGGACTTTGTGGGCAGCAAGGCTTTTATGTATGTAACCCATCTCTGCCAGGTACTTCATGCCAGAGGCAATCCCCTGCAACATGCAAAGGAGCTGAGTGGCCGTGAACTGCCCCTCGTGTTTCTGTAACAAAAGAGGAAGAAAAGCCAAAGGTGAGCAATGCCCAGATCAAGGGGGCACACCAGCGGGTGGCAGCCCCCTCCAGTTACCACCGGCTCCCAGAGCACTCACCCTGAGAAAAGAGTCCAGCACTCCATTCCCCATGTACTCCATCACTATCATCATGGTACTCCCTGCACGGACAGACAAGGAGCACTGCGTGAGTCCTGCCCGTTGCTCAGGCAGTTCTAACGCTGCAGGTGTTAGAAATCCAGGTGCTAACCTGCAGCGTGGTCGGCCCATGCTGCCTGGCTACTAAGGGAGACAAGGACTGTATCTCAGACAGTGAGCAGTGGGTCCGAGGCTTTCCTGTGGTTCCCACCTGGGAACCCACTGGACCCAGTAGCAGATGCTCCTTCTATCAGGACACTGAATCACATCACAAAGAAGGACATCACTGCTCAGTGAAAGCAAAAGCAACCTGCTCAGCCCAAGACTCAGGACAGAAATACTTCCTTACCTAATAAAAAGGCTAGTTAAAATCAGCACACGTGCTCACGTTTCTTTGGATTTACATGAATATCCATTTAACTACAGCATCTGCAGACTAGTTCAGCACACACACTCCCACGAGAGCTGCGAGCAGTCAGAGTCATCTGTTTTACTGACAGAACCTCACTTCAATTTACTTTTATTAAGAGTGCACAGTTTTGCTGCTAAGCCAGTCCTAGTACCTGGATTTATTAATCTAGCTGTAAGCATTTTATTAATCATCAGAATGCTAAAACAGCTAATACATGAGGAAACACCTGATTTCCAGAGTGCAACAGTATTGCACCTCCAGCACCAGTTCATCACTCCAAAGCAACACTTTGAGCACGTTGCCTGCACAGGAACCTTCCTCCACTGCGCGTGGCTCAGGCTGCCCGGCGTCGTACAGCCCGGGACCCCCCTACCTCTGGTGATGACCCCCTCCAGGCGGATAACGTTGGAGTGATCGAACTGGCCCATGGTGCACGCCTCCGCCAGGAAGGAACGCTGCTGCTTCTCCGAGCACCCTGCCCGCAGGGTCTGGATCGCCACCGGCAGCTCTCGCTTGCTGGGCAGCTTCAGGCATCCCCGGCAGATTTCTCCAAACTCTCCTGCGCAGCAGAGAGATGAGTTAAACAGCATCCATGGCCACAGCAGGACATCCCTCACAGCTCCCTTCTAGGGGGCATTTTCTTTGCTTTGGGACCATAAAGTGCATTTCTGTAGCACGAGTGATGTGTCTTGCTGTGTAGACAAGCAAGATTTTCCCATCGTTAATCAGAGGATTTGCCAAACCATAAACTCAGAAACACGTGGAGCTGCAAGTTTCGCCCGCAGAGTCTGTTTTACCATCTTCCCCCACCTTTGCTGAACACATAACCCTTCACACAAGTTTAGCATCAGCATGTGATACTAAAAACGTGTGATAATGCAATGCAATTACTCCTTCCTCTTCCTACACCTCTAAACCATTCTCTCCCCGCTCTGCTCAAGAGCGTATTGCGCTTTTTCCCATGAAAAGAAGATTAATGCCCAGCCACCGAGTTCATGCTCCCTGGGCACGGCCCATTCTGCTTCCCAGCTCGGCAAGGTCTGCTTCTCACGGAGCAGAGCAGTGATGGGCCAGGAGCGGAGTGGAGTCTGCAGTCTTTAGGCAGAGCTTCCCACTCTGCACAGCCACGCGCTTGACAACAGGAGCTACCAAATTCATAACATAAAAGGCCAACGTTGCCTTTACAGGAAAGAATGTGTAGCTGTGAAAATCTTTATTGATTTGAAAGCCAGGTACTTGTTAGGTCAGCAGTAAGACAAACGCACTCCCAAAATCCTCATGTTTAAATGTATTCCTGACTAATTTCTTTCTAGATTTTTCAAACACCAATTTGCCTCTGAAAGGTATGTGGGAGCAGTCTCAGCTGCTCTACTCAGCAGCTACAAAGATAACCTCCTCTTCTCCTCCGTGTCCTCTTCCCTTCAACACTGTCCTTTAAGCTGGTGAGCAAGCCCTTCCCTCCTTCCCTTCCTCCACCTCTTCTTTTTCTGCAGCTGAATTTATCTTTAGGAAAAGAAACGACAAAGAGTAATCGTGTTTCTCATGTTCTGGCACACATTAGCGATTAAGGCTCTAGGGCCCAGTGAGGGAATTTTAATTTGCTTCTAAGTTTTAGGCAGTGAAGTTGATGAAAATCAATAAATCATTAAGTTCACATATTTATAAATAGTTTTCACGCTGCTGTCAAACTGCCCAGATGCAGATAATTGCTGATGCTTTCTGCTCCGTGCCTCACTCAGTTGGCTGTACTTAGTGCCTCAGAAAAACAAACGGGAATGCGAAATCAAGCTCCCGAACAAAATACTCACCAGCCCCACTCCCATCTCCCCGCTCCCGGCGTGTCCCCCCCCAAACATCAGCAAGAGCAGAAGTCTGTGGCGCTGACTGCGCTGGAGGACGAGGAGCTGCCTTGGGAGATGCCGGCAAGGTGGGCAGAGCCCGTGGACAGCGGCGGGAGGGCCACCACGCACCCAGGCACCGCGGCACGGGTAGGACCGCGGCAGCGTCACAGCACCA